TCACGATGACAACTCAAATCTGAAAAAGCTAATTTAAAATATTATTTCAACATTTCAAAATCATTTTTGATAAAAATTATACCATAAAAAAAAGAGGATATGAATGTTAATGTCATTTTGACTCTTTAATGGCATTATAAATGTTGAATTTACAGGGAAAATACTATTGTCATCACTACATAGTTACTACCATATAAATGGCAATATGTGCAAAATTACATTTTTATATATGAAAAAGGTGGCATTATTTGGCAGTAAAATCTTCATTTTAATGTGATAAAGTTAAAAAGCAATTATAGGGTATTGGAATTCAAATCATAAAATTAATTTGAAGAGTTAAAAAAAATTGATCTACATGAAAGTAAAAAATTACGGAGTATTAACTTAATGTAAAAAGATAAATTAAAAGGTTATAAAAATAAAAAGCTGAAAACAAAATGACGGCAAATCCATATAACAATCTCGAAATCAATGAAACAAAATGGAAAGTATAAGAACAGAGGAGCATTTATAGTCATTTTGACATTGTTAAGACATTATAATATTGTATTGTATTGGGGAGTGTCATATATTGCCATCTAACATGGAGTTAATTAGTGCCATATAAATGGCATACAAATGACACTAATTGTCAAAAAAATTGAAATTATACCTTCGTGATGGCATTAATTACCAAAAACACAACATTTTATTGCCATCTTAAAATGGAATTATAAGAAAAACAAACTGTGCCATTTTAAAAAAAGAGATAAATCGAAATGACTACAAAATAAGATCTGTTTATGTAAGTGATGTTGGAGCCTCACATATTTCAATCCAAAGATTACAGATCTACAAGTTATATTGAATCTCAAAATTAAACATAAATATTTGTCAAAATCTTTTAGATACAAATTCATTCATGTGAAAATGTAAAAAAAAGTAATCAATATTAATAAATACTCCATTTTGTTTAAGATAAAACTAAATAAATTAAAATTTTCAAATAAAGGACTTTCATGTTTTAAAATTATAAAATCCAGATCAAAATAGCAATTCGTAAATAAAATAATTTATGGAAAATAAGAAAAAATCGAAATGAAAAGAAAAAAAAATTGGAAGAAAAAGGAGAAGAGGAAGAAGAAAAAAGGGAAGAAGATGATGAAGAAATTAAAGAGGACATACCATTAATTTTTACATCTGATTCCACTACTCAAATCCGCCGGACATAGGTTTCATATCGCTGGCCTCTCAAATTCATTTGGAGTGTGCGAATTTTTAAAATCTCTCAAGTGGATATGAGATCAATTGCAAAAGGAGATAGATATTAAATGAGGGATTGGAAAAGAAAGAAGAAAACAGAGAGAAGGAAGAATAATGAGATGGAGATGATCGAGACACCACTACAACATTTTGGAGGTAAGGCAACACCAATTTTTTTTATTGCCGTAAAAGTGTTGCCTTATATTTATATAGACTACATTTTTTTATAGTGTAGCTGAAGTTGAAAAGAATAACATATTCTTATAGGCATCACTCAAAGACCGTTCTAAAAGTCAAGTTAGCAACGGTTTTTATTTTTAGTTGTTTGCCCACACTTAACAACTGTGGTTAAATACGGGTAGTAATTTTTTTAATAAATCAGTTCCGGTATCCTTAAATTTTTTGGGCCCATAAGTTGTTTAGCCCGCTTAGTTTTATTATCACCCAGTTCACCCTACGTCCCTAACCACTTCGAGCAGGACAGACCGACGAACAAGGGACGCACAATCACACTGCTGGGTCTGCATCAGATCCCTCAAACGATGATTGATAAGTCTCAAATGGAAACAAACCTCTACTCATCAGATTGTATTGTTGCCAGTTATGTTTATATCCGTTGAATATGTAATCGAAGACGGCACTTCAGTCTGCGTCTCCCCGACTCCCAGCAGATCGTTGCCGACATCACCATAGCTATCCTAACTCGGGAGTTTGATCTTCGAGGTAATTTGTTTTAGAAACTCGAGTATGCTGGTTTCTATTTTGGATTTTTTTTCTTCACATGCTCTGTGGGCTTATGCTCTGTGACTCGTATGTTGTTTTTCATTTGAAACACGCAATCCCTGCTTCAATCGCTTATGTTTGATGTGTTTAGAGCTCGTTTGGTAACGTTTTATTGACTGAATCGATCAATTGAATTATATTTAGAGAAAACATAACTTTCCTAATTTAAGAAAAAAATGAAAAATTTCCCTTCTTTTATTAAGTCAAGAGGTTTGTTGTACATGGGGGAATAACGACATAGACGATTGCTGCTTTATCATAATATATTCACATAGACAAGTCTGGCTGAAGCCATCTGTAATGAGGAATCGGGGAATCGTAATGTCTATCAAAGTTTAATTTTTTCTATTTCATAATTAAATCCATAATAAATGGAGTGTAAATCTTTTAGATGAATTTGCAGACTACACCAATTGTTATTATAGGGACTTTTGAAATAGTCATCTATCCAAATCCAAACGAAGTTATGTTCCCCTTAGGAAATGTAGCAGGGCCTTTACAACAACTTCCAACAAACTACATACGAAAGAAATGTAGGTAACCGAAATTCAACGGCCAATGGTTTCAAGTTTAGTTCTAGGGGTTAAGCAAATCCTATTTGGCTAACTTAGTATTATAAATGTATTATTATGTGTTTACCTAATGCACTGGAGGTTATCATTGTTGCCTTCTTATGGCATTTGAGCTTGCAGGCTTATTAAGATTTTAGAATAACCAGATTATTTTTGAAGGCTTTATCTATTATGATATTGTCTAAAGGCGTTTGCTGTGTGAACAAGAATCGCGTCATTAATAAATGAAGGTATGCAAGTCATATTTACTCTCTCCGTCTTCTCTTTTTTCATATGTTCATAATCATCTCCACTATCTATACAAGGGAATGCTTTTGTGATTGATATTGTTTCTCTTCTTTTTAAATAATAATGTTCAAACAATATTGATTTTATAAAACACCCAATTCACAGTCAAATGTAGCTATAAACTGAGGATGAGTAGCCCTTATCATATACTACTGGATTTAGCTATTAACGGAGTATCTAGCTAGGGTAATAGGAAATTCTCTGTTAAGTGGATTTAGTCTATGTAATAGGAAATACTGATAGGATACTAGCTAGGGTAGCCCTTATCATATATCTATTCGGACAGTAGTGAGCAAATATGACTTGATCGATTCGGACAGTAGTGAGCATTAAACGTGCAGTGTGACAGCTGTTGAAGGAAAGACAGGGGAGGGTAAAGCTGGAATAAATAAAATTCGCGAATCGATGGTCCATTAAAAGCTCCTACTTGGGGAATATATCAATGATAACTCCTACATTGGAACTTTTTTAGTGTTTTACTCCTATCTAAGATAATTTCTTATGAGAATATACACCATATAATACCATATGTTCATACTATATGTTGATTGAGACAATAAACATGAATATTTAAAATAATACTAATTCGTAACGACCATACATGAAAATACTATGAGTTATATGTGTACATTTACATAGTGTCAATCTCACATGTACCAACGACATCTAATACGAAAACATGGGTATGTGCTATACAATTGTAAATTCTATTACACTATAATACTGTATGATAACCTATGTCATACGTGAACCGATCACGAGTGACAATATCGTATTTTAACATATATATAGTTTAAGTCAACAATATATAGTCTATAATAAATCAAGTACAAAACACATGTAAAATTAACCAACTATCAATACATATTTATTGATACATATTAATTAACTGGTACATTAATACTGACAATTGTGATCTGTGTAATGATAAGAGTTCATATCAATTTGAAGTATGATCATGGTTAACCCATTCCATTTTGATTATAACCATTGGTTGTATACTGTAACTTAACACGTAATTTATATTCAAAATAATCATACGAATGTATGATATAATGAGTATATAATACAAGTCTTATATTAATATACACATTAATAATATCATATTGAACTCGGATATATAACTATATCCGAGTTAATATGAGCATAGATTGTTAATTTGTTATCCCTGAGCTGGAAACGAGTTTTAGATAGGCATATATGAAAAGTATATTACTCAAGGCTTACTAAATCAATGTTAAGTATGACATCCGATGTGTAGAATATAATATGTCAACAAATTGAATACATACAATTGTATACTTGAGTATACACTTGTATACTCAATGGGTATTATAGAAATATACAAGCCTATTATGCTTACGAGTATAATAGGCTTCAATCATTATGTTAATCAAAACATACTTCGTGAATACTATGTATTCAATATATTACTAAATCCTATGTATAGCCATTCATCTTAACGATGAATGACTAATTTTTCCAATCACTATCACGAAGATTGACTTAAATTTTGAATACGACATCGGATGAGACAATTTTCAATGAAGACATCTCGGTTCTGAGAATTTAGTATTCATACTTATGACATTCACACAAAACTTAATATGATCAAAATTACGTTTTCAAAATTGTGCCATTAAAAACGGACTCAATTCCCAAGTCCATACAAATCAAAATTTGAAAATACACAATTGTAACCCTATATGAGTGGATGATCAAGTCCAAAACATAGTATGATCTCATTTCGAGTTGCAATGGGTTCCCTATGCAAAAATACACAATTCTCGTTCACATATGTCTTTGCCATATTCGAGTCATCTTCTTTGCCTCATGTTAAGCTCTTTTTGAGTGAATATGTACTTCAACAAGATTGACTTAAATACTGGAGACTTACTATGAGACTTAAATTTCAACACATAGACTTGCAAAATTACGAATGAGAATCAAGTCTTCTATTCATTCATAGGATAAAACTTTAGTTGAACCCATTTTTGGAAGTTTTCAATTGACTCGTTTATAAGATACAATTAAATTTGGAGTAAATCATCGAGTCTTCGTGACTCGTAATTTAACCCATTGTACTCATAAAAGACAAGTCGGGAAAACACATAATTAGAATACGATCAACATTAAGTGTATTATGCCTAAAAAATGAAAGTGTTTTTCTATTCATAATTGGCACAGGGGACCACAGCCTCAAATGTGTCACGCCCCGGACCTCCCCGGACACGTCAACAACCCGCCGTACAATACGAATAGTCAACCGCAGTCCAACACATTCATATTATACAAGGCGTCATGAATATCATTCACACATAAGTCATCCATAAACATACATAATAAACAATTGAATACGCAGCGGAAAACATTGTTTAAAACAAAAGGGCCACACAGGGCAAACATGAGCACGCAGGCTCTAAAGTAAAATATCCATGAGCATGTTTATTAATGTTCTAAAACAGAATGGAGGAAGCACGAACCAAGTCTTCTCTCCGGGGAAATCACTCGGGCAACGAGCACAGGAAGCAAGCTCTAGCCTCAACCTGAAATGGTGGTGGGACGCCCCCGAAGGGGTCAGTACTCTATACGGCTATAAAGTACTGGTGTGGCAGGCATCTAATAGATATACAACAAGTATTTCAAACACAAGACCCCCAAGTAGGGTGATAGTACATTATGATTGTAACCCTAAGTTACCCCGTTTAAAAATATACTTACTTTATATAAAAGTCAAGTAGTCGGCCCGTGGGCCCGTTTTCATTTGGAAATCACCATTCCCAACCCCGTGGCTATAAGCCACGACAACTCCTAGAGTCCAACCCTAGTACATGACATTGTATTCTAGAGCTCGGCTCTACCACATCACCATACAATTCATATACCTCGGGTCAATTTCCCTACCTTGCGTTCTAGAGCTCGGCTCTATCACATCACCACGCAAGTCCTAGAGCTCGGCTCTAGCTATACAATACATAGACTCCAAGTCTACACCTTACATGCATTCTAGAGCTCGGCTCTATCACATCACCATGCATTAAGGTCCAATTCTCAAGCAACCCTATGCCTAGAATTGACATATCATTAAACTACCATGGGTCATCCTTAAAGACTTCCCATAACTTAACCTTAGTTCCATACTAAGTTATTATATACACTTGAACTATATTCAAGTACCTTTCATACAATCCAATCCCTAGGATCAATTTAATCAACAAGTTCCAATAATCACTAACTAGTATTTCAATACTATTAAGATTATTGTTATCGTACCACTATCCTCTTTATTTGTAATTCTCTACATAATTATAATTATGTAGCAGCAACTTAAGTATTCAATCTCAATACACAAATATTCATTTATGTGTCCAAATACTTCATACATGAGCAAAATAACTATTCCGCAAAAGTAGTTCATTTATACTCATTAAATCTCATATTATTCATACATTCTCAAATCATTTCAAATTTCATTCTTTGGCAACTATATCAATATTTCATCAATATGTGATCATCATAATCCATGAAAAATAATGATTTAAGCATTTAGGTAATCTCATGCTTAACCTACAAGTTGTAAGCAACTAGATGTCAATCCTCACCTCAATTGAGCTTTAAACTTTCCCTTCTTGGTCCAATGGTCAAAGCTTTGGTCAAGGTGGATTTGGAACTGATTCCTTGCTCAAATATGAGTGTTAAACAGCCTCCTCAAAGTGCTAGTTCAACCCTTAATCGTTGATACGAAAACAGCCCCTAGAACGGGTGTTTCCCGGTCAACTCGTTTCCTAGTTTTTCCAAGATTTGTTCTAGGTTAGTATCTAACCTTTATATCAATAAAATAACTTTATAAGGACATATTATACACTTGGATTAGTGTATGATAGTCCCACCAATCGTTCATATCATTTGGAAAATGAAAAGTAAAGTTTTGGGGTTAAAACTCACCTTTAGAAGATTAAATCCTCTCCTGCGAGGTTGTGTTTTGCTCGGACGATTTGGAAGCCTTCCACAACTCCGATTCCTGCAAACCAGACCTTCACGGATTCCTCGTCTTGAGAGCTTTCTGTGGGTATCTCACACGCCTTAATTGGATTTGTAAAACTCGAGATATCGACCAAACAGTATCCGCACTCTCACAGCTCGAGTTCACAGACCTCTGCTCGTTCCAGATCGATTTTGGTAAGATAAGCCTTCTCTCCTCGAACAAAGACCACTCAATTGAGATAATAGACTTCAAAGGCTATCCAAGGACATATTATTCACGTTGTTTGGTCGAGTATAGCTTCTGTAATGAGAGGAGACAAACAGCACACCAATTTGTGCGAAAATAAGGATGGTGGCCCAAGCTTTGATTCCTATCAAGTCATGTGCAGCTCCCCTCCATTATGGCCGGCCAAGGTAGGTCTTCTAACCCATTTTTATTTGTTTTGCAGGTACTAATATCATGTGGAGTGGTTCCCAATTGATCCCATTAAATTTGGGGTCCAAAATATCTACCAATACTTCCAAAAATGGGAAGATGGGTCCTATTGTTTTATCTTTGTCAAAGATGTCTTTTTGTACTCATCCTAATTTATTTAGAACAAGTCAACTTCCTAAATCACATTATTGATCTCCAATATGTGTAGGCTCATCCCAATAATTTACTTGATGGATATTTTAGAAGGAAAATCCTACTCCCATTATTTAGCTCAATAATGCCAAAGATGGGGTTATAGACATTTGTATTCTCCTTTAATCATTCTTTCACTATTTAGGTAATGTTGGGCTTTTTTATTTATTAATAAGTCCCGAGTAAGTATTTGCGAAACCCGACACTAATGTACGAGTTTGAACAGTACGATATTCAACCATGCACTACGTAGAACATTGATCGTTTTACAAAATGTTTGGGAATCGGAAATCCAATACATAAGCTATGAATATTCAAATCAAATTTCCAAGGACATTCGGGTGCGGTGTCACAAGTTCACCCCCCCTTAACAGGAATTTCGTCCCCGAAATTCACAGCTCTACTCGAATAGGAAAGCATACTGCTTCCTCATCAAAGCCTCTGTTTCCCATGTCTCTTCTTCGACCCGATCGCTCTTCCACAGGACTTTAACCATTGGGACTTCCTTGCTCCTCAGTTTCTTCACCTTTCTATCGGTGACCTTGATAGGTTGAACGGAGTAGTTCAAATCCTCACGTACCTCTACAGGTGGCTTCTCCAATACGTGAGAGGGATCATGCACATACTTCTTAAGCATGGATACGTGAAACACATTATGTATCTTCTCTAACTCAGGAGTCAACTGTAGACGATATGCAACAGCCCCAATCCTCTCTATAATTCTGAATGGACCTATGTACCGTGGGTTAAGCTTCCCTCGGGTTTGAAATCGAATGATTCCTTTCCAAGGAGAAACTTTCAAGAATACCTCGTCATCAACCTTAAACTCTAAGGTTCTTCGACGCTTATCTGCATAACTCTTTTGCCTATCCTGAGCCGCTTTGAGTCTCTCTCGAATCAATTTCACCTTTGATTTGGTGACCTCAACCAACTCAGTACCCTCGAGTTTGGCCATGCCAACCTCGTCCCAGCATAACGGTGTACGACACCTCCTCCCATACAATGCCTCGTATGGAGGCATGCCGATGCTTGCCTGATAACTGTTGTTATAAGCAAACTCCACAAGTGCTAAGTGGTTGTCCCAACTTCCTTGGAACTCCAATGCACAAGCCCTCAACATGTCTTCCAAGATCTGTATGACTCTTTCAGACTGTCCATCCGTCTGTGGGTGGAAAGCAGTACTGAACTTCAACCTTGTTCCCATAGACTCCTGAAATTTCGGCCAAAAACGTGATGTGAATCGTGGGTCTCTATCGGATACAATGGTCACTGGGACCCCATGCAGCCTCACAATCTCATCCGTATATAATTTGGCTAACCTCTCAAGTGGGTAGGTAGTATTGATAGGCAAAAAGTGTGCACTCTTCGTGAGCCTATCCACAACAACCCAAACTGCATCATAGTTCCGAATCGTCCGTGGTAAACCTACCACGAAATCCATAGTCACATGTTCCCACTTCCACTCAGGAATGGAAAGTGGTTGTAACAAGCCTGCTGGATGCTGATGTTCTGCCTTAACTTGTTGGCAAGTAAGGCATCGACTGATGTACTCGGCTATTTCCCTCTTCATTCCAGACCACCGGTAACTTTCTTTCAAATCACGGTACATTTTCGTGCCCCCCGGGTGCATGGCATAAGCCGATGAATGAGCCTCCTCTAAGATGGACTTTCGGAGCTCATCATCCGCCGGTACACACACTCGGTCACGAAATAATAAGAGACCGTCATCTCTTTCTCTGAAGTCCTCCACCGGTCCCGCTTGCATGCGTTCCCGGATCTTCATAATTTCTTCGCCAGTTTCCTGACCCTTCTTGATCTCATCAAGTAAGGTAGGTCTCACCTCAAATCGTGCCAATAAGGCACCATCGCTGGATACCTCCAATTGGGCTCTTAATGCCCTCAAATTAGCTAGCAATGCCCCAGACGAGCTCTTCCGGCTCAAAGCATCTGCTACCACGTTTGCCTTGCCGGGGTGATACTCTATCACTAGATGGTAGTCTTTTATCAACTCCATCCGCCGTCTCTGTCTCATGTTTAGCTCTTTCTGAGTAAACACGTATTTCAAGCTTTTGTGATCAGTGTATATGTGACATGTCTCCCCGTAGAGATAATGTCTCCATATCTTCAGTGCAAACACCACTGCCCCCAGCTCCAAATCATGAGTAGGATAATTCACCTCATGCTTCTTCAACTGTCGTGAAGCATAGGCGATTACCCTCCCATTCTGCATCAGTACACACCCAAGCCCTTGGATGCTCGCATCGCTATAGACATCGTACCCCACACCCTGTTTGGGTAATGCAAGTACCGGTGCCTCGGTCAATCGTTTCTTTAGTTCCATGAACCCCTTCTCACATTTGTCATCCCATACAAACTTAGCTCCTTTACGAGTGAGCTTCGTCAATGGTGATGCCAAAACAGAGAACTTCTCCACGAACTTCCTGTAGTAGCCTGCCAATCCCAGGAAACTACGAATTTCCTTGACGTTCTTTGGCCTCTCCCATTCGGTAATGGCTTCTATCTTCTTGTTATCAACAGCAATTCCCGATCCCGAAACCACGTGCCCGAGGAAGCCAATCTCCTTTAGCCAAAATTCACATTTAGAAAATTTGGCATAGAGTTGCTTCTCCCGTAGTGTCTCAAGAACAAGTATCAAATGCTCTTCATGCTCTTCTTCACTCCTTGAGTAAATCAAGATGTCATCTATGAACACAATCACGAATCGGTCCAAGTATTTATGAAATACTCGGTTCATCAAGTCCATGAATGCCGCCGGGGCGTTTGTTAACCCAAACGACATAACAAGGAATTCAAAATGCCCATACCTTGTGCGGAAAGCACTCTTTGGTATGTCATCCTCCTTAATCTTCAATTGGTGGTACCCCGACCTCAAGTCAATCTTTGAAAACACGGTTGCCCCTCGTAGTTGATCAAATAAGTCATCAATCCTAGGCAAAGGATACCTATTCTTGATTGTGACCTTGTTCAGTTGACGATAGTCAATGCACATTCGGAGTGTCCCATCTTTCTTTTTCACAAAAAGAACTGGTGCTCCCCACGGGGAGTGGCTTGGTCTAATGAAACCATTATCTAAAAGCTCTTGCAATTGGGTTTTCAACTCGTTAAGTTCAGCGGGTGCCATACGGTATGGCGGTATGGAGATTGGTTTGGTACCAGGCTCGACCTCGATCGCAAATTCAATCTCCCTATCAGGTGGAAGCCCCGGTAGGTCTTTAGGAAAGACATCCGGATACTTACAAACCACCCTCACGTCGTCGATGTTTGTTTCCTCCTTGGTTTTGTCAACCACGTATGCTAGATATGCGTGACACCCCTTTCTTATCATACTTCTCGCTCTCACAGCGGATATGATACAACTGTTTGATTTGCCTCGATCCCCCTCGAAGCGTAGGGTGTCCCCATCATTGCCTTCGAGTTCCAAAACCTTCGTGTAGCAATCTACCCTAGCATGATGCTTTTCTAGCCAATCCATCCCTAGGATTGCATCGAACTCCATCATACTCAGCGGTACGAAATCACACGTCAAGGTTTGGCCATCGATTTCCACCTCACAAGATGGATAGTAAGTAGCTCTTTCAATGTCATCCCCTAGTGGTGTTGATACCACTAGAGTTTGTGTCATTGGGATTGATTGTATCCCTAAATCCTCGGCGAACGCCTCACTCACGAATGAACGTTGCGCTCCGGTATCGATAAGAATTCGTGCATCCTTCCCATTAATCTTTAATGTTCCTACATTTATAAGCCATGTAAGACACCATTCCTAACATTTCTAAACTTTATTTAGGGTTAGGGTGCATTTACCATTCAAACAGGGTGGGCCCCGTTTTGATACGGAAAATTTTTGGACGAAAACAGCTTCGGACCGGCGCCGGTTCGGGCCTGACCGGCGCCGGTTGCCCGGGTTAAACGTCCCAGCTGCACCAGTCATAGTGGGCCGGTTCCACACAGGCTCGCTCCAGGGAAGGTCCGGCGCCGGTTGGGTGGTGTCGCAGGCTGTGAGCGCCGGTTATGGGGAGCCGGTCGGACACAGGCTCATCCCAGGGCATGTCCGGCGCCGGTTGGCCAGTGGCCGGCGCCGGTTGGCTGGAAATCTGCCCCGGTTATGCGCCGGTTGGAGAGAGCCGGTTCCAAACAGGCCCGCCTCATCGCTCTCTCCGGCGCCGGTTATGCGAAGTCCGGCGCCGGTTGCCCCCCTTTTTTGCACATTTTAATCTCAAACATGCCCATTTTGATCTTAAAGCGTTCGGGGCTTAATCCCAAAGGTGTGTACACATAAGTACGGCAAATTTACCACATTTTAATGAGATAAATACCTGCAACGGAATCCGGGTTCGCTTGGGCATCCGCCTCCGTCATCGCATAGACTCTAGCTTGAGTTCTTCCTTGATTCACGGATGGTGCGTTACTTGTACTTGCCCCCCCGTGTCCCCGGCTTGCTTGAGAAGCCCCGGTTTGGTTCCGTGTACCCGTCGGACCGCTACTCGGTCCCGATGTCCTTGCCCCACTCAATTGTGGGCAATGTGCCTTCAAATGCCCGGCATCCCCGCATTGAAAACATCTAGGGGGGGTCGCGACATTTACCGGAGTGGTTCTTCTTGCAATTGTTGCAACGAGCTACCACTGAGGTTTGTGACCTCGCGCCTTGCCCACTCGGGCCTTGGTTCCCCCTATATGGTGGCGGTGGTGCCCGGAAAGATCCTCCTCCGTGGTTACCCTTTTTGTTGGAACCTAGGGAGCCATGACTCTCCCACTTTCTCTTTTTCGCCTCCTCGGCGTCTCTCTTCTTCCTTTCTTCCCATTGCTTCTCTCCTTTCAACCCTTGGTCAACCACTTGGGCAAACGTCATGTTAGGCAATTGTGTTGCCCTGTCACGTATCTCCAAGTCTAGGGCATCCCAGAAGTGGTTCACCATCCGGTTCTCGTCACAAGCGTACTCAGGTATGTAATCGGCAAGATCCCTGAACTTGTACTCAAGTTCCCTCACCGTCATGTTACCCCCTTGGGTTAGAAGGGTGTATTCCCTCACTTTCTTGTTTACCTCAAAATCCGAGTAATATTGGGCAAAGAATTCCTGTCAGAAATTCTCCCAAGTGACGGTCTCGCCATATTTGCCTTTGGTCCCATCCCACCACTTGGATGCCATACCTTCAAGCAATCTCACCGCAACCCTTAGTTTATATTCGGGGGTGAGTTGCATGTCCAGGGCTGCCTCATTCAGCCGCTTAATCCATTGTGCCGAAACGGAGATGTCACCCGTCCCATCAAACGGTTTGCACCCCAAGTCTCGTGCCTCTTTGATGTATTTGGAGATCCTTATGATTGGACCTCCATCATTTTGGCCTCCATGTGGTTCCACATGGACTCTAGATGCACCATGACTTCCTCCTCTTGAAGCCATGCCCGAAGGTTGCCCAGCCCGGCGCCTTCGGCGTTCCCTCCTCTCTTCACGCTCACGGTGATACTGTTGGAGTAGCGCCTCAATCCGTGCCAAGGAGCCATTTTCCTCCTCATCACTTACATCATCATCATCCCCTTCATAAGGGGTTTCAACCGGTTCTGTTTCCGGTCGATAGGTCGAGTCCTCATAGGACCAGTAGCTGTCACTTTCGGTGCTCACATGACCGTCACTCACGGTCCGTGATTGGCCTCCACGGCCCGCTCCTCTAGATGCCCTAGAGGTCCTACGACTGCCTTGCCTAGTCTCCTCGGGTGCATGGCCCAAAGGGTTCCTCCTAGTTACCTTGCCACCACGGTCCATTTCTGAAAGAAATTTGGAAAGAGTCGTTAGACTCGTATCAAATGTCAATTGACGGATAGGTACTTAAGACACATTTTGGCTCGAGTCACCGCCATACCAATTGCTAAGGGTACCATCTTAACAATTAGAGACCTTGCAACCCAAGTACCAAAAGCTCTCCAAGTACAAAACTTCTATGCTCATGGTTTTCAAAATCTTTTCAAAAAGAGGATTTTGAGACTTCATTATGAAGTTTATGGACTAAGGCTCTGATACCAACTTAATTGTCACGCCCCGGACCTCCCCGGACACGTCAACAACCCGCCGTACAATACGAATAGTCAACCGCAGTCCAACACATTCATATTATACAAGGCGTCATGAATATCATTCACACATAAGTCATCCATAAACATACATAATAAACAATTGAATACGCAGCGGAAAACATTGTTTAAAACAAAAGGGCCACACAGGGCAAACATGAGCACGCAGGCTCTAAAGTAAAATATCCATGAGCATGTTTATTAATGTTCTAAAACAGAATGGAGGAAGCACGAACCAAGTCTTCTCTCCGGGGAAATCACTCGGGCAACGAGCACAGGAAGCAAGCTCTAGCCTCAACCTGAAATGGTGGTGGGACGCCCCCGAAGGGGTCAGTACTCTATACGGCTATAAAGTACTGGTGTGGCAGGCATCTAATAGATATACAACAAGTATTTCAAACACAAGACCCCCAAGTAGGGTGATAGTACATTATGATTGTAACCCTAAGTTACCCCGTTTAAAAATATACTTACTTTATATAAAAGTCAAGTAGTCGGCCCGTGGGCCCGTTTTCATTTGGAAATCACCATTCCCAACCCCGTGGCTATAAGCCACGACAACTCCTAGAGTCCAACCCTAGTACATGACATTGTATTCTAGAGCTCGGCTCTACCACATCACCATACAATTCATATACCTCGGGTCAATTTCCCTACCTTGCGTTCTAGAGCTCGGCTCTATCACATCACCACGCAAGTCCTAGAGCTCGGCTCTAGCTATACAATACATAGACTCCAAGTCTACACCTTACATGCATTCTAGAGCTCGGCTCTATCACATCACCATGCATTAAGGTCCAATTCTCAAGCAACCCTATGCCTAGAATTGACATATCATTAAACCACCATGGGTCATCCTTAAAGACTTCCCATAACTTAACCTTAGTTCCATACTAAGTTATTATATACACTTGAACTATATTCAAGTACCTTTCATACAATCCAATCCCTAGGATCAATTTAATCAACAAGTTCCAATAATCACTAACTAGTATTTCAATACTATTAAGATTATTGTTATCGTACCACTATCCTCTTTATTTGTAATTCTCTACATAATTATAATTATGTAGCAGCAACTTAAGTATTCAATCTCAATACACAAATATTCATTTATGTGTCCAAATACTTCATACATGAGCAAAATAACTATTCCGCAAAAGTAGTTCATTTATACTCATTAAATCTCATATTATTCATACATTCTCAAATCATTTCAAATTTCATTCTTTGGCAACTATATCAATATTTCATCAATATGTGATCATCATAATCCATGAAAAATAATGATTTAAGCATTTAGGTAATCTCATGCTTAACCTACAAGTTGTAAGCAACTAGATGTCAATCCTCACCTCAATTGAGCTTTAAACTTTCCCTTCTTGGTCCAATGGTCAAAGCTTTGGTCAAGGTGGATTTGGAACTGATTCCTTGCTCAAATATGAGTGTTAAACAGCCTCCTCAAAGTGCTAGTTCAACCCTTAATCGTTGATACGAAAACAGCCCCTAGAACGGGTGTTTCCCGGTCAACTCGTTTCCTAGTTTTTCCAAGATTTGTTCTAGGTTAGTATCTAACCTTTATATCAATAAAATAACTTTATAAGGACATATTATACACTTGGATTAGTGTATGATAGTCCCACCAATCGTTCATATCATTTGGAAAATGAAAAGTAAAGTTTTGGGGTTAAAACTCACCTTTAGAAGATTAAATCCTCTCCTGCGAGGTTGTGTTTTGCTCGGACGATTTGGAAGCCTTCCACAACTCCGATTCCTGCAAACCAGACCTTCACGGATTCCTCGTCTTGAGAGCTTTCTGTGGGTATCTCACACGCCTTAATTGGATTTGTAAAACTCGAGATATCGACCAAACAGTATCAGCACTCTCACAGCTCGAGTTCACAGACCTCTGCTCGTTCCAGATCGATTTTGGTAAGATAAGCCTTCTCTCCTCGAACAAAGACCACTCAATTGAGATAATAGACTTCAAAGGCTATCCAAGGACATATTATTCACGTTGTTTGGTCGAGTATAGCTTCTGTAATGAGAGGAGACAAACAGCACACCAATTTGTGCGAAAATAAGGATGGTGGCCCAAGCTTTGATTCCTATCAAGTCATGTGCAGCTCCCCTCCATTATGGCCGGCCAAGGTAGGTCTTCTAACCCATTTTTATTTGTTTTGCAGGTACTAATATCATGTGGAGTGGTTCCCAATTGATCCCATTAAATTTGGGGTCCAAAATATCTACCAATACTTCCAAAAATGGGAAGATGGGTCCTATTGTTTTATCTTTGTCAAAGATGTCTTTTTGTACTCATCCTAATTTATTTAGAACAAGTCAACTTCCTAAATCACATTATTGATCTCCAATATGTGTAGGCTCATCCCAATAATTTACTTGATGGATATTTTAGAAGGAAAATCCTACTCCCATTATTTAGCTCAATAATGCCAAAGATGGGGTTATAGACATTTGTATTCTCCTTTAATCATTCTTTCACTATTTAGGTAATGTTGGGCTTTTTTATTTATTAATAAGTCCCGAGTAAGTATTTGCGAAACCCGACACTAATGTACGAGTTTGAACAGTACGATATTCAACCATGCACTACGTAGAACATTGATCGTTTTACAAAATGTTTGGGAATCGGAAATCCAATACATAAGCTATGAATATTCAAATCAAATTTCCAAGGACATTCGGGTGCGGTGTCACAAAATGAGACTTATGTTTTTAAATAGGGAACTTAAACATAATTCTCAGAGTGTAAAAAACAATGGACCTATATGAATTCCAAAAACATATAAGGAATTCAAAATTTAAGTCAATATTCGTGAGTCGGTTGATTTAGTAAGCCTCAAAACTCTGGAGACTCGTATGTTTTTTCTATTCATATTTTGGACTTGAGTCGTGAACGAGAATTATATTGTGTATTTTTGCATCGGGAACCCATTGCAACTCGTAATGAACGAGAATCATTTGGATACTCATAATCAATTTAAGGCTTATTATGATTTCCATTGTACTCGTATGATTTGGTATCAGTGTAATACATCGAGTAGTCAATTTGGTTGTACAATAATATTTAGATGAAATTTTAAAGAACTGGGTTCCCTGAGTATAATTTCGTGAGATGTGAAAATTCAATGATTTTAAGTGACCCAGTCAACACAATGTATCTTTATTGAAATATAGAATTGATATTCAGTGTATCAAAAACCAAGTGGTTGATAAGTCCAAAATTAATCCAGAATTTTGAGATTAATTATTCTGATATGTCCAATTACGCATACAGATACGTACTAGATACTGTATTTCGACTTGTGAACTCCGTATGATTAATGTTCATTTGGAGTATACACTGGAGATATCCCTATGTCGTATTCTCAGGATAAATCATTAAATATAAGTATGAAAAACGACTTGTAACCCATTGGGTAAACATCTTTCATATTTTGAAATTGACTGTGTCCATTGATCCCCAACATTTAATCACTTTAAATCCGAAAAATACTACATCGGATAATTCACGGTGATTTCGTACACAATTCCCATGTTCATGTAACAAGTCGGTTTTGTATACTAACACCGGATGTCCAGAAGATGGGCATTTACGTAATCATTGTGTAACTCACATGATTAATATAGTTAATATGATCTGTCGTGAATTATTGTAGTAAGCCATTCGTTAAACACTGACTTTAATTGAAACATATTTGTATAAATACACTATTCGTACATAAATTACGTACATTATGAACATACTCCAATCGACACAAATATTGTTTTTTGAATTGTTCAAAAATGAATTACAATGGAGTTGTCATCCATGCATTGATATGGGACGAATGACTTATAGGAATTGCATGACAATCCATTTACTTGACTTACGAACACTTGATTTCATTTGACAATCATGATTATCCGTGGATAAAATGGTTTATCAACGGATAAAGTCATCACAAGTCAACTCATATGTGAATTATACGTATAAGTGACCAATTGTTAGTAAAATTCTAATTAACAATTGTAGGATAAACTACAAATCACATATATGTAATAATTGATTATGATAGGAAGAATAGATTTATTGTTTATGACTTACGTCCAGATATCAATTATTACATATATGTGATTTGTAGGTCATATATAACACATAGATCCGTCTCTGATTATACAATTCAAATGTATATCAAAATTATAAATATACGATGATGATTATGTCTCAATTACTAGTGTATTATATACCATGAATTCATTAAATAGATTCATATACAAATATCCATATAATCATGTATTGAATAGACCAATTCTTATCCTATACCATATATATTTGGGACCCATCATTGGGATACTAACTTATTGAATATGTTAATAACCCATACACTATAACAAGTTGGATATACCTTACAAATAGATACTCTTAGCTTGTTTACAATCCATATGTTATTCAGGCTATACTCATAAAATATACTGTATTCATACACATTATCTTGATGTCTTATCACTTACAAGTTAAAATATGTATTATACAATTGGACATCCCAATACATAAAATATCATTCATAATCACTAGTTCCGAGTATTACTTGTCTAAATCACGGGTATATGACTTGTATCTATCACAGGCATTATATTACTTGAGATAGAATATGATGGTTCGACATTTTCAAATTTCTTGTCGTATTTATGACAATCCCTATGTTTATACCAAATACAACCACCTAAAACAGTGTGATTGCACTTTAATGCATATGCGTACCTACATATGCATTAGTAATACAATGTATACCTATTAAATGTTCAGGCTCGGTCCTGACATTTTGGAGACCCCGGACGCATTACAAAAAGGGGCCCTCGAAACTGGACTATAAAGCTGAAAATAAATTTTATTATAAAAACAATACTCCGTATTCAATACATAAAGCAAGCACTTCTTAGATAAAAATTACTAAAAAACAATTTCTCCGAGTAATCATAAATGCAAAATCACCCATGATACTATGACAGTGTCAAATTCAATACTACTTCATGTAGTATTGAATATTATGTAGAAGCAAACGCAACAAGGAATTCGTTTCAACACAACCTGCAATAGAAAAAATTGCTCCTAATTATTTAGAAACATTAATTAGACCAGTATGTTTCATTTTGACATATTTGTAATCAAAGTTCATTAAAAAACAAAAAAATCTAGTGCTTACTCGTTGTTAACCTTAACTAAAATTAATAAATTAACAATCACATAATTCACAATTAATCAAAAATTCAAAAGTAGAACCCAAGATCAATTTTACGGCAATTCCAATAGAACAATAAAATTTCACATTCGATTATGAAATTAATAATCAACAAATCACCAATTTAATTCATCCCTTCAAATCTAAAATAAATCAACACTAGAGTTAAAAGTAACTAAGTAAATCACCTCCACAGCTCCACAATCACGAGTCTGCAAATCTGAAATTCATAATTCCTTTCACAGATTTCGTATGAAAATATCAAGATGGAAAATTAGAAGAAATAATCAACTAGTCTAACTGTCCTGAGGCGAGAATAGAAGAGAAGTTGAAAGAAAGTCAGAAGAGCAATAGATTCCGGAGTAAAGCTTGAAAAAAAAAATCTAAATCAGAATTATATAAAAGAAGTCTGAGCGATGGCCGTAGGTGTTTTGGAGTTCAGATTATCAATTAGCAAGACGAACGGTCGAAACTCAAAAATAAGGAAAATTAAAAAGAGATGTTCAACGCTTGGCCTTCTCAATGTTGGACGACGGAGATGGGACTATGGGAGAATGCCGAGATAGATATCGATAAATTATACTCCGGGTGCATAGTGCATAGTGCAGTTTTTTGCTTATACGGAGTACTACGTATTATAAATATATATACGGAATAATATATACTCCGTAAGTAACATATAAATATATGGGCCCCATAGAGGAGATGGCCCTGGGCATGTGCCCCGGCCTTTGCCCTCCCGCCAGATGTTGACTAATGTGATCAAGATTGCATAAAGCCATGCATACGTGGAATTTAGTCATTTAGTTATTCAATTATTTGTTAATTTAGTTAATTGAATAAGTCAATTATAGTTAGCTGATTCTTAGGAGTTGTTGGAGTCATTGTAATTCCTTTAGTTTGAACGTGTGAACATGCCTTAAACTTAGGAGTAAGTTGAGGTTTATGTGCAGCACGTTGTTTGCTTTTGTAATGCCTATAAAGGCTTATTTCGTTTCAGTCTAATATATGAGAGTTGAAGCATTCATATCCAATATATTATCAATATAGCTTGCACCAACATTTGGTATCAGAGCTGAGGGTTATCCGAGGGCCTAAGAGTGAGGAAACACAACAAAATGAGTGGAACAATGCAGACTGCAAATGGTAATAGCAATGGGAATTCTATTTCTCAATTGCCTATGTTTAAAGGTTCGAATTACCATTTTTGGAGTTTGAAGATGAAAACACTCTTCAAGTCTCAAGAGCTATGGAGCATTGTGGAGGATGGCTTTGAGGATAGTCATCCTGAAGACCCGGATCAAGCCTTAAGAGATAAGAGGAAGAAGGATGCTAAAGCTCTCTATTTCATCCAACAAGCCTTGGATGATGAAGTTTTCCCCAGGATTGCAGCAGCATCAACATCCAAGGAGGCTTGGAATGTCCTGAAACAGGAGTATATGGGTGATAAAAAGGTTATTGAGGTCAGGCTGCAAGGCTTGAGGAGGGAATTTGAGAATTCCAAAATGAAAGATAAAGAATCTGTCCAAGATTACCTCTCCAGGATCACAAATGTTGTGCAGCAAATGAGGTCCTATGGAGAGGAGGTTAAGACCAAACAAGTGGTTAGTAAAGTCCTCAGAAGTCTCTCAAGGAAGTATACTCCCCTTGTTTCTGCCATAGAGGAATCCAAAGATATGGATGTGTATACCTTTGATGAACTCAAAGGATCACTGCAGGCCTATGAAGAAAGAGAGATTAAAGAAGAAGACAAGGAAGAAACTGCCTTTCAAGCTAGAGGAGACCCTCCTCATCATAACAGATCTCAGCAGTCCTCAAGAGGGAGAGGAAGAGGTCGTGGTAGAGGAGGTGGTAGAGGCAGAGGTCGTGGCAGAGGTGGTAGGAGTTATACTCCTGACAAAAGGGAAGAATCTTCTGGGAATAACTACAAAAGTCCAACCAAGTGTTATTATTGCAATAAACCAGGCCACAAGGAAGTCTCTTGTTGGAAGAAAGAGGAGG